CTTTTTCGAATATTTTGATATCCTCTTTGATGGCCATTATTGTGTAAATTGATGTTTTGAACTGTGATTTTTTACAGAATGTGCGGTTAAAAATGGGGGAAAAGTTTTGGGTTTACGTGCAAATATTTTATTGTGTGAATGTGTGGTTGAAAATGAGTATAAGAATAAATTCTTTTGTTTTAAAGGGAGTCAAACAAGGGCTTTATAATGTTATCCTAGTTCAAATTGAAAAATGAAATAAAGTGGAAAGAGAAGAAAAGAGAAGGTACCACAAAAAGTTTATGATTAAAGACAGATATCATGCTAATAGCAGTGAAGATTAAGATATAAATCCTAGAAAGAAGATTAGACACCATATTATCATGAATAATAGGCTTAATTATTGGTAGCATGACATACACCTGAACAATCATAGACCCACCTTGACAATGCAGTCCTTTATTCACCATAATATGATTTTAGGTAAATCACCCTATGACTCAAGTCCTGCCTTCCACCACAAAACCTGGGGGTTTGGGTTGACAAAAGGTATATTCATCATCCATCAAAATTAACTGTCTCAGTTACTTGGCATGTTCATTTACTTAGCAAGGGTGACCACATGCATAATCTATAATTTTCCAACTTTTGCTGCAGAACTGTAATATAAGTCACAGGACAATGCAGCTTTCAGGGTGAAAAGGAAAAAAAGAACTAACATGAATCATCTCTGTGATCTCAGCCAGACATTGATGTCTTGAGCGTAATTCTGTGGGCAAAATATCAACAGTAGCAGCAGCAGGTTGTACAGACATTGGCATATTTAAAGCTGTTGCCATCAACAACAAAACCTGCAAGATATATATATGAGGTATTTAATACATGGAAGGAGAACAACCACCAGTGCAGACTGCAAAAATGAAACAAAAGGTTCGTCTAACACATTTTCAAGAAGAATAAACCAGTATGTGACAGTTAAGATGTTTACATTAAGTTTGTGCACGCGAGGCTGGTTCTACTAGTAACTCACTCGTAAGGTTAAGAAGATGGTTATCTATGAGTGAGTAAACCGATCTGTTTTGGAACTTGACATGGCAAATATTAGTTGAGCCAGCAGTGTTTGTGAAAGGCGCATTCAACTGTTTATAACCAAATCGATGAAATTGCCAACAATTGAATAGTCAACCTTTCGAAGTTAAAAATATACAATCCCAGTCATGCATAGAAAATTAGCCAAAATTGATAAGGCAATGTAGCCTAGATGTTAGGAAATGAAAATCTTGAATGAGAAATTAGAACTTTATGGATTCTCTTCTCCTATGAAGCGCGAACATGATGACACGTAATTGAAAATGAAGATCTCACCATTGGTCGAAATCTCTTTCCTTCTACTCCCATCTTGAAGAAGTGCTCTGCAGCAGTGGCAAGCTTTGGGACCTACAAGATTGAAGAGGAGCTATTATACTATCACTACAATTCAATCGTCAGCCAAAGAAAGAGGACGTGAAGATCGAATACCTCTGCAACTACCATGGACCTTAAATTATTCGCAAGAATTGACAATTCATCGGCAACTAGAGAAAATGGATCTAATCGCTTCTGAGAAAGAAATTGAACAGTAAAATAACAATGTGTCTGTTCCATGGTTTTTGCAACCAATAAAGCACAGCTAAACTATCTGGAATAAAATCTGAAAAATGAGTTAACTAGATGTTTAGAAACATAGCTTCATTACTGTACAAAACCAATATTTTATAAAGGACTTGAGCAAAAGGATTCAATTATCAAAGGTAAGCACCATGATACAACATTGAGCTAACCTCAATTACAGAACTACTTTGATCGTGAGCTTGTTGTCCCACGCCACTTAGAGCACTTGAAACCAAAGAATGAATTGCTCTGAAACGCCAAACCTACGAATCACGGGCAGCAACGAGAAATACCATATAAACAATCAGAAAATTTAAAAATTACATGCAAAATCCCACCAATTCAAGTACATCAGGAAAATGGACTTATAGTTACTAGTCCTAAAAAATGCTACGACAGTAAGATGACCATATTAGAGTAGAATCATGGTTCTCAGGACTTGAGACGAAAGACAAAGGCAGTACATGGATTGGACAACTGGAGATGCATGTGAATATTCGTGACAGGTAATCTTCAACGTGTTTGACCGCCGTCACAAGTAGTAACCAGTTTTAAACTCTTCAGCGCTGCTGATGAATTGACAACCAAAATTCCTTTAATTCATCCCTTCCAACAAATAACAAGACAAGTCACGTCTTTTATGACCTGGAACATTTTACCATTTCTTGATACTTGGTACCCTATTGTCAACATATAGCCCTGATATGTAACCTAATGCAGACCACTCGAAGCAATCGGCAAGCTTTGCAATTCCTATAACCCTGTTTTATTAAATCACCAAGCTCCGAATATTAATAGTCTAGATTCTAGAACAAGACAAACACAGTGTAGGGTCCTAAAAACGTGTGGATGAAGAAAGAACAAACTTGAATAACTTGTAAATGATCCTCCGCTATAAATCTCCAAATTAGAGTATTATAACTGTCTAGTTATACAAATTTAATGTCAATATTACCTTTTAATAATTTTACTTACATATGGACTTTCGGGTTAAAAAAATTAATAATGACAACAAAGATTTCAGCTTTAAACCATGGCTCTTCAGTCCGTAACCCAGTCATTACAATTTACAAATTAACTTCAACGAGCAACTCTCATCAATAGCAACCCTAAAATGTGTGACACTAATATCAACAAATACAAATCAATGAACGAGTTGATTCACCTCCTCAGAAGCGCGCAAGGGGGAGAGAAATTGGTTGTCATGCTGGACCAATTGCTGCTCGTTTTTACGTAAAGAAGAGAAAGTCCATTGACGCCGGCAGTAACATGTCCTCGATATACGGGACACTCCCCTTGTCAATAACATCTCCTACTTCGATAGTATCACCGAAACAATCAGCTAGATTAGTGCGTTGTGTGTGTGATTTGGGGAGGTCAATGAATAAAACCAGAAATTGAAGGGATTCAAATTAGTTACTGAAGATGATAGCGGCCATTAATGTTCTGAAAAGTCTACCCAAAAATGGCAATATAAACGGCAAGACGATTCACGCAGAGTGGGTAGGCCATGCGATTTGGCAGGTAGACCTAGTCGAAGACTCGAACTTCTTTGTTGTGACATTCATTTCCCAACATTTTATTATTATGCAAACAGTCCCTATTTGTTCAACTAAAAAAGTTAATTAAAATTTAAGTCAATACTGATAATTAATTTTAATTACATATTTTACAGAATTCGTTACTTTTCAATAACACATTCCCCCAATTTGTATCAAAATCTTTTAAAAATCTAATTTTATTTAAACCTAATAGGGACATAATGTTTCAATTCGAAGGAAAATGTCTAACTAGACTATAAAAATTACGTGATCAATTATGCTACCAGTACAGAAAAATTTGATAGACAACACATGGCGATGTTGATTGGAAGATGGAAAGAGAAAAAAAGAAAACAATCCAATTATCTGTGGCCACGTCAGCGTCGGCAAGAATTATGTCAAGAATTTCTTGCACTCATGGCTTTTTCCTTATGTGATAGTAGCAATCCACGAGAAAGTAGAATTCGAAGTTAATGAGGATTATTTTTTAACAATTATATTATCAACAATTTATTGTGTGCCTATCTTGTGGCTCTTTACCGTCTATTTAGACATTTTGCATTGAGTGGGACATTGTACGCATGATTTTAAGAACTTGGGGATCCTTATAGGAATTTAGCTTAGTTTTAAAATTTTGAAATATCTGTATTTTCAATTTCTTTTCACATTAAAAAAGAATGATGGGTATCCAAAACTAATACAGGTTCAGTTAAATAAATTATATGATTTTATATTTAAATTACTTAATTATCTAATGTCATTTAGTTGCCATCTCATTAGCACCAATGGCTATTAAAAGCAAATGTGAAATAAAAATAGGGATAAAAGTTATGAATTCTTTATTGTTGAGATTGAAAACGAATTCCAATGATGGGAAAAGATATTGAATATAAGTTACAGGAAAAATTGTAGTATTTTCATTTTTTGTAGACTATACTCTATCCTTCATTTTATGTCAGTGGAGGTTCCTAACCTTTCGTAAATATGCACTTGAGATCCATTTGGATGAAAATTGTCCAAAACACCGTCAGTTGATCGGAAAAATTAAGGAATCAATATCTAATAAAACTGTCCAAAACACCGTTAAAAAAGGTATCAGCATCCAATAAAATCATCGCGGTAGCAGATAGTTCAAAAAACTTTTCTGCTCAACTAACGATGTTTTGGACCATTTCTGTCCAGATGAATCTCAGGTGCATATTTATGAAAAATTATGGGCCTTCGTTGGTACAAAATGAAGGTCAGTGTAAAATTTGTAAAAATGAAAAAGTTAGGGACTGCTATTGCAATTTTCCATAAGTTATATAACATGCAAAAAGTTGAACTCGGTGCAGTTTACATGTGAAAACATGTTCAGTAATTCGCCCATTTACATGAGTTGGTCTTGTCCACTTGGCACAACATAAATGGATGGAAGGAAGTGTCCCAAATTGTACCACTTGAGATTTAATCTTGTCCACTAGTTTTGATCCTAAGGCTGTGATTCATTCTCCTATTTTCTTTTGGTTTTTGGCTTAAGAATTATGTTCTTGTATTTTGAACATGGAGACGGTGATTAGGGTGAACAGTGTTTTTCTCCCCCGACTGTTCATGGTTGCCGAGTGGATTTAGGTATTGCTTGGGTGCAATAGGTGGCATTGTTGGAAATTATATAGCAATTGAGAGAAATAGGAGATGATGAAAAAGGATCAAAGGTTGATATGATATTCGAAGACTTGAACATGAAAATATCGTTATCCTCAAACAATATTTTGTTTCCTCTCACAATGGTGGCAATGTTGGAAATTATATAGCAATGGAGAGAAATAGGAGAAGATGAAAAAGGATCAAAGGTTGATGTGATATTTGAAGAAGACGCAAACACGAAAAGATCGCTATCCTCAAACGATATTTGCCTTCTCTCACAGTACTTTTAAAGGTTTGAAATAGCAAATAATTTGTAGGATTTACCAAGTTTCAATAAAGAACACCAAAGCAGAGTAATTTTTCAAATGAACAAGTGAAAACTAAAGTTTTGAATATGTAAAGGATCAATAATTTCTTCAGTGTCTGGATGAATAGTACAATGTTTTTCATTGTGTTTAGGGATGAATACTATCATGTATATATAGTTTTCAATCATCCCAACACAAAATGGTTTCATCTCAACAATAAAAGGTGTATTGACTCACCAAAAAATCACCAGAAAATTCAAAAGGTTGGATTTCGAAGCCATGCGGTTGTATAGGTTATAACCATGTGGCTGCATGACAATAACGTTGGCCGCCACATTTGTTTCTAAAGGGACACATGCGATCGCAAGCCACAAAGGCCTATGCAATCGCATAAACTATATACATGGCATGATTTTTTGCCTTTTTTCAATTTTCTTAATTCATCCAAATTGATTTTGAACAAGAAGATTACAACAATTTCCCGCTTGTTCGAAATCAATGTTAATTATATAATCAAGTATCAACACTCATGCATAAGGATTAAATATCTTTTGATTTGAATCTAACTATAGTGTAAATCTCACAAAGTATTATCGAAATTTCAGGTAGTTAGAAAGCTTTGCTAGTTATTCCTTATGACAATACCAATGAAATCATACACACAAGTGTTATACTTTCTCAAGTACCTCTAAGTCCCTTAGTGTTAATATGGCCTTCCACTTATCATTTTTCATTGAAATTTTTAAAGAGAGAAATTTTAACTCTCTAATGAGTCTACACACCTGAAATTTTACAAGGGTGAAGTTCTTCCGGTATCTTTGTTACTTTTAAAGATATTTGTACTATGTACTGAACTTCATTAAGAGTTTTAAAACTCATCAATTCAATCATAATAACCAACACTATTTTGGATGTATTACTTTTACTGAAAAGCAATTTCCTTCATCTTCTTATCCCGATATATGAGTGGATGACCACCAAGATTTACAGATACCATATAATTTACAACGAATATTCGATCTGGATTTATTTCTTATCTTCCAGGAAACTCTCATTTTATTCTTAAGGCATATAATCCTTACAGGTTTGCAAGACAACATGACTTTAGGCAGAAAGGAAAAGCCTTTTGTACACTCCCCTCATATGAGGGAAGGTGCCCATGCCCAATTAATATGCGGGCCCCTCCCCATGTGAGGGGCTACTCACCTAGTTGTAAGGCTCGGTGTACGTATAGCAGCTCCTTTAGGCAGAAACTTTCTGGTTCACGAAGAAAGTTAGATATTGCTTCTAATACAAGCGACATATATCACATTTGGTTGTCTTTGACTCGGACGATAAGTGAATCTATATTTCATATTCTAGATTATATAAAGGATATATATCAAATTATTGATGCAAAGTACCAATGTTGGTGGAATAACCAAGTGTTGCCAACTTTGACAAAGGTTCAAGTGCAGGTTTTATCTTCTAACGAGAGTCATGACTCTTGATCTAGCTTCAAAGTAAATGACCAGGATCATAGAAAATGGTTAAACCCTTCAAATATTATTCATGAAGAGATGTCTCAAAAGAGAGAACCAAATTTGAAGCAATTTTAATTCCAGACTATAGTAGTCCTAGAGATCGAACATCCCACACCCCTGGAAAAACTTTTACTCTGGAAGATAAAAGTTCTGAAGATCAGGTATACTTTTTTTAACATAGTACTTTTATTTGATCTTATATAACAAACTTCAATTTTAGGCTTCTCTTTTATGAATATATAAAAGTGGAAATTACAGGTAACCATACATTAAAAATCCAATTATCTAAAAACAGGCCCAACCTTATTCATAAATCAGATTTTTTTTAAAATATTTTTTCAATTAGATAAATCATGCATAACTGTAACCCGTAATTTTAGAGACTTAAAAATGGAAACTGTCGTACATTCCCATATGTCCAGTCTAATCCTACATCACGTCCATATTTTCTTCATCGATTCTCGCGAATTTTCAGCACCCGACTCCAGTATCCGGTGAAAATCTCCAGCGCAGTGGTCACAACCGTCGACGTTCTATATACTTCCATTAAAGTAACACCTTTCGATTTTTCATCCATCTCTGTGTAAGCGACTTCCAATAGATACAAAAAAATGACCCGTTCGAGTAGTGCAAATCGAGCGAAGAAATCGGAAAGCAAATCTTCGGGTAGTGTAGGTAAACGGAAGGCTGAACAAATACGCGAAGATTCCCCTTCCAAACGGCATAAGCCATCACGATCAGTCCCATCAAAGAATGCAAAGAAGGTTTGTTTTTTAAGTTCAGCGAAATTTTTTTTCAATTAGAGCATGCATCTGGACTTTGAAATGGATGGGTAAGAATTATGTTAGACGAATTTTTTATTTGGTGACAGACCATGCTATCTATTTTTCTGGACATTGTTATTCTATTCAAAATGTATAAGAATTTAAAAGGATAGTATTGTTGTGTGATTATGAGGGTTGAGTCAGGAAAGCCTATAAGGGAATTTGTGACCTATTAGTCATTGTTGTGGCCTGGTGTGTTCATTGGCGACCAAGTATTTTTTTATTTGTGACCAATGCTCAGCCATTGGTATGCATTTGGAGGGGAAATTTTGTAGTTGTTTGTGTAAATCTCCTTTTCAAGTTCATGTTGTGACCTTTATAATAATGTGTGACCAATTACTTATTCTGTGTTGTGACCAATGCGCAGGCTTGGAGATTCATCATACCAGAGAATAGTTGGTTTCCCAGTAAAATCACGATTACACCCACGAAGGGTGTGCCGTCTAATTTCAAAGCCAACCTTAATGAAGACCAACGACATATACTGCAGAACACATGTGTTGCACACTTCATGGAATGCGATGAAATTGCTGTACAATCGTAGTTGATACACTATCTCCTGTTGAGGCAGGTTCGCCAGCCCAATGAGAATGAAATGTGATTCAATATAGCTGGGAGGTTTGTAAGATTCTCTGTGTTGGAGTTTTGTTTGGTGACTAGTCTTAGATACTTTGGTGATGTGGATATGAATCGGTTGGAGAAGACTCCCTCGCGTTTGAAAAGGAGATACTTTA